CAGTCCTACACACCAGAGAGATGCTCTTGGCTTCCTGTGAATATAATTCCAGTCCAGAGAGCTCTTTGCTCTTCCAGATGCCTATGCCTTCTGGAGGTTACTTTTGCAGGATCTCATTAAAGGTTCACAAGTGAAGACACTATTTGTCTTTAAAAAAAAAAAAAAAAGATTGGGTAAATATACCAAATTTGTATATGCTTGCAGTATTTTTAGAAGAATACATAAGAAATTGGCAACAATGATTGCTCTGGGGAGGGTTCCAGAAACTGGGAACAGCATTGCTGCAGAGAGGGGAACTCAGGATCTCAGAGGAGGAGAGGACTCTCTTTTTCCTGGATACCCCCTTGTACCATTTGACTTTGTACCATGTGCAAATATTACCTTAAAAAATTATAGGCCAGGTGTGGTGGCTCATGCCTGTAATCCTAGCACTCTGGGAGGCCGAGGTAGGAGGACTGCTCAAGGTCAGGAGTTCGAGACCAGCCTGAGCAAGAGCGAGACCCTGTCTCTACTAAAAATAGAAATAAATTAGGTGGACAACTAGGAATATATAGAAAAAATTAGCCGGGCATGGTGGCGCATGCCTATAGTCCCAGCTATTCGGGAGGCTGAGGCAGGAGGATCACTTCAGCCTAGGAGTTCAAGGCTGCAGTGAGCCATGATCACTCCAGCCTGGGTGACAGAGAAAGAAAGGAAAGAAATTACAAAAGAAGGGTGGCAGCTAGCAATTGATATTTGTTGAATACTATGTTTCAGTCACTCCTAACTGGTGTTTGACTATAAAATCTCATGTAATCTTTACAACAGCCTTATGTAAAACCCCATTTTACAAAAGAGACATCGAGTTAGGTAATACGGGTCACTCGGGTCACCCGCTCAGGTCTGCACAGCTGATCAGTGGCACCAGGGGAACTGAACTCAGTTCTTTCTGATTCCTGGAACCACAGACTATGTTGTGTTGACTTCAGCTCTTTCCAAAGGAACCAAATGGATAAGACAGTAGCTTTGGGACTACTTTTAAGAACCTGAAAGAACATTGTGAAATCCCATCACATGGTTTGCATCAAGAACTTAATGAATCTTCCACAACCCGAGGCTCCGTGTTAAAAGCTGTTCATGCTTGCAGGCCTCCAGCCCGTGCTGGCACTCGGGCTCTCATGCCAGAGTGGGCAGGGTACCCACTTTCATGCTCTCTCCAGGAAACCTCTCTGTCTAAATGGGGAATTTTCAGGTAGAAGTGACATAGCTAGTCAATATTTTAACTTTCCTAAGCACATGGGTTCTTCATTTCTTTAACAATCATCTTTGGAGTGGTGCCTTGAGCCAGGCACTCTCTGAAGGTTTAGAATTACAGAGGTGAACAACGTCCTTGATCCCAGGAAGCATCCATGCTGGTGTGAAGAGACAGGCAATAAACAAGCATGCAAGTCAGATGGACACCAGATAATAAGTGTATGGGAGAAAATGAACATAAACTGTTAGCTGGAGTGGCTGGGTGCCGACCTCAGTGCGGGTCATCAAGGAGGGCCTTTCCGGGGAGATGATATGTACCTAAATGACAAAAATGACAACTATGCCCTGGGAGCTACTGCCCTGAAAAACGAACTAACCTTCCTCTGTACGCTTCAGCCCCCACCCCAATTCCCACTCCAAGCTTCTATTTATTTATAATGCGAACTTGCAATCCCAGATGTTAGCATTAGCAAGGACCCTAGAAGTCTTAGTCTCATGCCATCATTTTAGAAATGAGGAAAGAAAGATGCAGAAAAGTGAAAAGAGCCACTGCCATGGCTAGACAGTGGCCTGACGAGTAGCTGAGTCCCATCTTTAGCCCAGGTTTTTTCCCACAAATCCAGATTCCTTCCCTGCCTATATTTCCAGTGTCCAATTCCTCTCTGCAGAGTCTTCACCTTGGTGCTAGCCTCTCTGGAGTCCACAGACACTAAATCCTCCCTGGACCACAGGGGACCCACTGGAGCAGCATTAATCATCTGGAGAATGTTTCCTGGGAGCCAGGGTGACAGTGGAAGGGAAGGCACATCTCTCCATGGGGCAATTTCACTGCATCCCAGCCATGCATTAGAGCCATGCCTGCCTCCTGCCACTCCCTGCCCACAGGTAAGCCAGAAGGGCTTCCAAGTTGGGAATTGGGGGTTTGCATGGCTCTATGAACTCAACAAACACTAAACATCTGTCTCTTGCAATGTTCCCTGGTTTAACCAAGTCAATATGAAAATGTTCTACTCTATGATTTCAACCCCTTCGAAATGCTTTACAAAAAGATTAACCACAGAATTCCTTTAAATAGCAAATTCCTTTACTACATTTGAAGTATGATCTATAAAAATTCAATCTACATAAAGATTTTATCCCCCCTCCCCCAAATAACAGCTATTATATAAAGAGCAATAGCATACACTTGGGCTCTTAATGATAGGTTTTGGGCTCTTTTATTATGCAATGATTTTCATTCATGCCACAAATACTTACGGAACTGCTCTATGCAATACACTCTTCCAGGCTGGAAGAGGACACAATGAGATAAAGACACAGCCTCTGCCCTTTGGAAGCATGCATACGCACGACTCTAACAGAAGGCAGATGTGACGAGGGCTGCCACAGACACATGGACAAAAGCTACAGGAAACAAGGGAGTGAGAGATTGTGTCTCGGTCAAAGATCAGGGAAGGAGGCAGCAACATTTTAATTGGGTTCCAAAGGATGGTTATGATTTGTACAGTTGGACAGTTCATTCCAGGAAAATAAACATCATGACATGTACAGAAGCAGGACATACAAGGACACATCCTTGGAATAGAAAGGAGCCCAGTGCAGCTTGAGGGTGACACAGGAAACCAAGAGGAAGAGAAGACAAGTTTAGAAGGTAGGTGAGAGCCTTGAATGCAAGAACAGATAACGTCTAGCCCCATCCATAAACCACAGAAGACTTGAGTGGGTTTGGGGCAGAGAAAGAACATTACAATGACAGTTGTGCATTAGGAAGCTCATTCTAGCAGCCTTATTTATGTAGAATAATCTGAATGGATAAGGCAGGCATCATAGACGAGGAGGCCCATTTAAAAAATTACCACATGGTTCCTGAATCACATACCAAGTAAAGAATAAATTCAAGAGCTAGAGTAAAAGTAGAATCAACGAGGAAGAGATCCAAACCCCAGGAGGGAGTGTCTAGCTCCAGAAAGGGGTGGAGTCATAGGCCTTAGATTCCGGCGGAAGGAAGAGAAGTCAGTATGAAGGTAAGTGGTGTCTCTTTACAAAAGGACAGTGGTGAGACGCCTCCCGCGTGGGACAGTAATCATGAGTCTACTGCATAAAAGCTGCCCCAGCTTGACGTTTCCAAGCCACCTATGAAGCCTCAGTTATTAATAACTCCTCTTCTGGAGATAGGAAGAAGTACCTGTTCTACATGAGGGCCCAGAACACATCTCAAATGATGATGTCTCCACCACCGCAGTGAAAGCTGCCTGATCAGGGTGCAGAGCAGGAGCCCAGGGAACAAGCGTTTCCGCACAAATGATGACTCAGTGGAGGGAGGGCCACTTGAATCGAGAACATCAGGCATAATTTAAGCCTCATGGTTGTGCCCTGATAAGAGGAAACACATGACAGATTGAGGCCTTCCAATTCGAAGAATCAGGTCCTGGGTTGCACGGCCTGAGCCACACATGCCTAGTTTCCCAGGTGAGCATTCACCTAACTAGCCGTCCAGGGCTCTCTGTGACAGGACTATGAATTTCTGGCCTCTGGCATCTTTTCCTAGCTACTCCCTCCAGAAACATACAGCTTGGTTTCCCTTCCAGTCAGAACCATGCTGACATCTTGAAGCCTGTTCTCAGCCAGTGGGCCCGAGGAGTCTGTGGAACTTGTCTTGAATCGATTTCCCAACGTGTTTTCATAGAACAGAAATATTACCATGAACAAAGGGGTCTTGAGGTAAAGTCTGTTGGGGAAATGCCATATTAAGTAAAATTAAAGATGCTTTTTGCTATAAGACATCTCTGAACTTTCACATGTTAAAATGTCTCGAGACTCCCCTAGAGTGAGAAACAGTATGGAGCATCTTCCAACAGTATTTACCTGCAGAACCACTTTCCAGCAAAGTGTCTTAAGGGACAAATGCCCTGTAGAACATACTTACAGAAACATCGGTAACGGCATTACTCTCAGGAATGCTTGCATTTAACTAGGAATCTGGTGCAATAATGAAAGCTAATACTTCCTGAGTGCTAACTACGTACTAAGCACCTTTCTAAATACATATATTAATATATTTAATCCTCATACCTGTGGATGCTATTATCATTATTCCCATTTTACAGATGACAAAACTGAGGCATAGAGTAGTTAAGAGATTTGTCCAAGGTCCTAAATAGACAAGTTAGTGAGTAATAGAGCTGAGAATTTAACCTAGGCAGTCCGGCACCCACAGAAATTAATCTGTAGTGGTGGAATTTCAAACACTGTGATCACCTGGCAGTGGGAGGGATCATGAGCTAAGCCTTGCATGCCAGCCCTTCAGTCATAGGAAGTCTCAACCTGTCTGCTCATAAATTAGTTTTTATAAGGCTCCCCAGATACTATCTAGGACATGACTTCTGAATTGTACTACTGATTTGATTTCTTCATCAAATTATGTTATAATGTACACACATACTTTTCCCTGAAAACAAAGTCATAATTCAGATAGCAATGCAATTAGCAATAATAAATAATCTGTACATTATCAATGCAAAAATCAATAATCAATAATAAATGATAACACATAAAGAAAACAACCTCTTGATTAACCAAATCAAGAAAATGCGAGACAATGAAGATGCAATTTTGAGACATGGCTTCTGTTGGGTTCTCAAAGTATTGATCTCTTGCTCCACAGGACTAGGGACAAAAACCAATGAACTGATTTCCTTTAAAATGCTGCAAAATTTTACAGCCCTGCCCTTCTACTTAGCTCAAAAATTGCCGAAGATGTGTCTTACCCGCTCCCATTTCCTCTCCTTGTTCAGAAGGATTATCACCAGTTTCGGGTGCATCTGGTAGCCATCTTCACTGAAGGACAGATTTCTCCCCTCAAAAGTGACATTGATCAGATACCTGTAAAGATAAAATAAAAGGAAGATTAAAAGTATGGAGAAGGTACACCAAGAACCAGATAGTTAGGTAGATAGGAAGATGGCAGGAGACTCTAGATACACAGATACCATTAACAAACTTGGTACTCCTTGAACTCCCATTTGATTATGCAATAGAGTCATCTAAGTTTTCACATAATAGGAATCGTATGAAAAAATAATAATTTAAAATAAGGGCACTTGGTTTGAGTTCAGTCTATAGCCATGACTTTGAGTAAATTACTTAGCCTGTTGAACCTCAGTGTTGTTCCCCATCTGCAAATAGTAGAATAGTAAAGAGACCTACCTCATTAGGTTTTTAAGGCTTACATGAGATAACTTAGGTTAAGCACTTACCATGGAGCCTGGTGCACAGTAAACCCTTATTATGTGTTAACAATTATTATTCAGAAAAAGAGGTGGATTAAAGGGTGGAGGTGGTAGAGATAAGAAAAGAAAGTGGGAGTGTGCCAAGACAACTTTCTGCTAAGAATGGTGGCATGTAGGAGCTTAGGGTCTCTCCCCAACTCAGAGATGTGCACATGCTCCTTAACTCTTGCTGAGGTCTTGCCCAGCCCATACTTCTAAGAGTTGTGCCATGAGTCCATTAGGTAGGAATCTGGTACCGCAGGATGCATCTGGAAACCAGAGCTATTGCACTGTGTGTAGGGAACAGAAAATACCAGGGAGTGGAAAAAGGATGGAGAGACATTTCACAGGTGCTCTGGGTACCTATACATAAGTTAGCAGAAACTCTGGAGGTAACTAGAGTCAGACCAATGAAACTGCTTTCCTCCTGGACACCTGTACCCCAGCCCACCCCATACCCCTGCTGGCTGCTATGATCTGATGAGCAGTTCCTTCATTGGGAATTCCCACAGGTGTGCTTATTACAACTGCATTAGTGCAAATGTGCTGATGGTAATTAATGTCCCTTTACCTTAGTGGCCCAAGGAATCAATAATGATTAGCTCTGTGTTCACACGACATGCTACTCTGGAGCCTTAGGCCTGATACTGGCTTGTGAGACATGTCCCTGCTAAGAAGCAAAAGGGATATCTTATAATTACAGTGAAAAAGGTGCTAAAGGCAGCAGATGAAAGGTCCCTCTTAACTATTCTCATTCAATGAAACAGGGAGACCCTTCTTTGATTCTTTCCGGTAGCATTAGGGTAAACAAGGGTGCTAGGAGGTAGATCCTTCCAGAAATTATAAAGATGCCAAGGCAGCATGAACCAAACCCTCATGGATCACTTCTCACTGCTGGAACCACCTGGGATGTTCAAGCCTGTCATTCCCTGGTCTTGTGTAGTTGCACAAATGCAATCAAGAACATGGGAGGCCTCCAAAAAGTAGGGATTCCTAGAATCTGAGAAATGAAAGAGACCCCCATAATCAACTAGCCCACCACTTCCTGCAATTCATGCTTCCCTTCTACGACATCATAGAATTGTTCTTCTCAGCTCTTCTTGAATTGTTCCACTGATGGGGGACTTACTACAGCACCGTCCACCCGCGAGGTGGCTGTCTCAGTGTTGGCTGGGCAGTTCTTTCTCACTTAAAGCTGAATCTTCTCCCCTGCAACCCTTCAATCCTTGTTCCCTCCTTCGAGAGTCTACAATCTTAGTCTACTCCTTCTTCTACATGAGAGTGCTTCAAGTCTTTGAAGACATTTATCATATATCCCTTATAAAATCAAATGTCATATTTAAAGAAGGTTTAATCTCATTTAGTTCTAAAATTAAACATGATGGATTAGGAAACAAGCACAGAGAGGTTAAGTTATTTGCCCAGTGTTACACAGCTAACTGGGAGGAGAAGTAACATTTTAAGCAACAGTTCCAGTTCCACATCATTCCCAGCACACCACCCTGATTCTCACATCAGGATCACGCTCAGCCTCCCTAGGTCCTTTACATAGTCATGTGCCATGGCTTCAAATTCCTGGCAGACCACCTTGGCCTCTCTCTCTGGACACCTCCAATCAGTGATGTGCAGCACCCCTAACCCAACTCAGGGCTCCCTGCAGCAGCTGCTTTCTCAGCCCTGGCTGTCAGCTCTCAGCACAGAGCTGTTCACCCAAGCCCATCACTAGTGTGAAGATAATATTCAGATCTCCAGTAGTTTGTAATGACTCCAACACTCCAACCAAAGCCCTGTAGAAATCGTCCTAGGGGATATAATTACAAAACCATAAGACAGAGCATTTTAAACTAACAAACTAGACTTTAAGCACCAACATAATTAACTTGGAGAATGTGTTCTTTCTACAACAACCCTGCATTACTTAGAATAATTTCTGGAGTCTGCAGAGGAAGTTTATGAGACACAAAAAATAATTTGGTATTATTTCTTTTTTGGAAAGAAGGAAGGAAGAGGGAAAGAGAGTGAAAAAGGAAGGGAGAAGGAGAGATAGAGAAAAGGAAGAGAGAAAGAGAGGGAAGGAGGGAAGGAAAGAAGAGACAGAGAGGAAATAAATTACCTGGCTTATGCATGCGTCTTTTCACCAGACATGGCTCTGAATAATTCTAACTTTATCTAAAACACCATTAAGAATATTTAAAAGAAAGTGTCTATTTCAGAAGGCAATTATAAAAGGGAAGTTCCAAAAATAATTCAATTAATAATCAGCATGAATGGAGTAAGTATATAGCCTCTCAAGATGACTTCTTTGAAGGGGACAGCATTGAATTGGGTGTATAAGTTGAGAAAATTAAACTTTCAGAAAATAAACCATACTCATGGGCAATGTAATTGGTTGGTAAATTTCTCCCTGGTCATTCCTGCTCCAGCTCCTTCTGATTTTCCTTAGAAATTGTTCTCTTTCTTGGGTGTTTTGAGCTCTGCAAGTTTATTTTATCTACCTAAGCACTTTTCATCTATCTTACACTTATCAAAAACATTAATAAAATTTTATGACAATATACAAAATATTCTTCTTCAAAGTATCCTCTAATCATTCATATCCATCAGTAGCAAATAGATGAATCATTCACATCGTGTTTTTCTGAGTAATTCGCTGTGATGTGACAATACTCAGCTATTAGTGAGGAGCTTGCAAATAGGTACCAGCCTTGAGCAAAATGCCCTTTGAACAGTGGAACAAACCCATCCATTCACTGGTGATGACAAATGTGAAAAAATAATTGGGAGTGTGATCACTTTTAGACATGTGACCTTGGCACCTGAACCTCAGCTTTTCTTCCCTAAAATGGAGACACCATTTTACCTCCAGCTTATCAGAGAAGTTCACTGTGATGATCCAATGAAAGAGTGGATTAAAAAAAAACTGTATAAAATGATACAAATATAAGGTTATACAATAGGAAATATTCAGGAAAAGAATATATTAACTAGCATGATTTGAGTATCTGAAGGTCAGAAACTTGCTTAATTTTGAACCTCAGTGACTAAAGTGTGATCACTACATTTTAACAAGACTCAATTATCACAGAAATACATGTGAGGAATGGAGATTGGGTTCCACATATGCAGTATAAACTAGCTCAAATGGTCATATTAATCAATTTAACTTTCTATAAGACCTGAAAATATCCAACTACCCTTGGATCTGGCTGTAGTTTGTCAATTTCGAATATTAATTAAAACCTCAAAGCTCCCTTGTGTAAATCCTGGGTAAAGGAATAAACTATAATTAAGATTAAGAGGTACCATAGCTATTCTGTTTTTCTCTGAACATGTCATCCTCAGGTATACAGGCAAAAAGCCCAGCTTCGAGTGGCAGCCAAACTCAGAAATTCTGCCGTAAGACTCTAATCCTATGGGATCTCCATTAAGGTTTGGTATATTAAAAAAAAATTTGCTTGATTTGTCTCTGGGATGTAGTTTGACCCCTAAGAAACTGGATGGCCTGTCTCATAAAGTTCTAATATTACCCAGAATCTCACATTGCTAGAACTAGCAGAAAACTTAGAAATTATCCATTGAGAACCCCCATTTTAGAGAGGAAAAAAACAGGTCCCAAGATGCTAAGTGACTTTCCCAAGGTGACACGCCCGTTTAGGACTGGAGCTCAAGGCTTCTGATCCTCAGTCCACTGTCTTTTCGTGACATCACCCACTGAAGTGAAACCAGCTTCCCAGAGCTCTAGAGGTGCATTTCCACATTCTTGAATCTCATGTCACACCCTGGACTATACAGATCCCCAGTACAGACTGCATAAAATAAAATCTACCTCATTTCCTGCTTGTCTCCTCGTTGAGAAACAGCCTCAGAATCCTGATGGGCTCAGAGCCAATACGTTTGCTCTGTACGGCCACAGTCACACTCCAGCTGAGTTTAATGGGGTTGAGCTGAGGTTAAAAAGCCCTTGTGCCTCCTTGACTTCGGACATGCCACTCAGAGCTCATTCACTGCACCATGTTGGTACTCAAAGCAATGATTTAGCAGCACGCCCTGTGTGGGAGGCACCTCACAGAGCTCTGCCAGAATTGTCCAGGCCAACCGAGAGCTCTGGCACTACAGTACTGGCTTTGCCCTCCACATTTTTATGAAGCACCAGATTTTTAAAAATTAACGTCTGCTAGTGTGGTAATAAGAGAGAAAGAACATCCCATTGCATCCAATCCTTTCATTCTCAGATGATGCAGACAAAGTCCAGAAGGGTTTCTGTGATCAGATGACAGGGCGGGGAATAGGATCCAGATGTCCCCACTGCCATCCCAGTGTCCTCTTCCATCACCACCAGCCCTTTTTCATAGCTCTCATTTCCATTCTCCAGAAACAAAGGAACAC